GTTCTTCTCAAAGGGAATGTACCCTTTGACTCCCAAAGAAATAATGCGTAAATAGAATCCTTTATGCATACGCAGAAAGGTGATTTATGTATTTCATATTGTATGAAAACATTGATATAAGTCGTACCTAGAACGGTACAAGATGATATCAGTGCAAGCCCAGGATCAGAACCATGGCAACTGTCAAGTGAATCCTTAGGTATTTGAGAAATACTAAGGATGGATTCCTCAAGAATGAGGAAGAATTAGAGTAACGTAATGGAAGCGTAAATGTATTAGATTATGAATCTAATCCATCATAGAATATCTCTTCATTATGAATGAAGTGATAAAGAGATATCTCTTTATTATGACTAAAGAGATATTTGGGTGGAAACATTAAAAGTAAATGACTTTAATGTGTTCCATCATATATGCAAAATATATTGCCATATAGAAGCTTACAACATTGTTGTTTGGATGGGAAAGTTCATTCATGAACTCTTCATTCGGTTCCAACCAGAAAGTGTATGACACTAATGGGGCGATAGCTCAAGCCAGGGAATCAAGGTCTCATCAAGGTCCGAACTCAAATGAGAGACTGAACCACATGATTGAGAATCATGTATAATGGTGACGTCGTTATTCTCAAAGTTGCTTCTATGGATAACATATAGATATCCATTGCTTAGGCCTACTACTCAGCCATTTATGAAATGAATTACAGAAGAGGTATCATCAATGATGACTAAGCTGATTGGCTCTAGTGCAAGTGGGAGATTGTTGGAAATGTGCCCTAAAACCAATCATATGATGATACTTTACGGACATTTCAAACTAATGTAGTTTAAAGGGCAAACATTATTGTTTGAGCCGTCTCATATAAATGTTATATGCTTAAACGATAAGTCCAAGGAATATGTGATTGGAAGAATGCGATCTAAAGAAGTTAGATTCATGAGACCATTCTTTCGTTGACACATCCTAAACGTTCCTGATCATAGGATTGTCAATTGGGCATTGACAGTCCGTTAAGATCAGTACGTGCTATGTCTTCTCTCAGGGAGAGTGACTAGTCTCGAGTCATTGGTGTGTGTGACATCAAGACAAGTACGTAGGTGCTCAATAGAGAATGAGTTCACTGAACACGATCAACGAAGAGTTCTCATATTCATGTCATATGAGAACTCATGGTTGGGATAATGCAAATTAGTCTTTTGACCTGAGGCATCACAGTTGTCTTGTGGTTAGGTCCTTAATCTTTGATTATGTCAACGTCACTCTATCAGGGTGTCCACGGCATCGTCGGGGTTAAGCCACTTAGCCATGGAGGCAAGTGAATGCGCAACAAGGGATCTCTAACCTTCAAACTGTTTGAGGGAGAATACTCTATGATATGATTTGGAATCTCTGGCCAGAGTATGAATGAAATGTTGGAATGCGTTCCAGATCACATTCAAGGTAATCATATAAGCACAAGATTCACATTGGATAGTAGACATGAATAAACTATCAAACCAAACAATGTGGTCAAGAGTATTGTATTAGAGAAAGACCGTATTGCATTTGTAATCCTAAACTGAATAGGTTCTCCACCTCTTCTGATTAGCTTGGGTAACCATGATATGCTGCTAGGTGTCACTCATGGTTTGTGGAAGCCCTAAAAGTGTATTATCATTAACGGGAGAATTGAAAGTAAGTTTCAATTCACAATCGATTTGAAAGAGTTTGAATCGCCCACTGCCTCGCTAAAAGGAACCTAATGGATCGTACACCGTGTAAGGTAGAGTTTGAAGATTCAACGGAGATGAGTAAGAATAATTAAATGGTTTAATTATTTATGGCAAGGATTAATTAATATGATTATTAATCAAACGAATAAGTTCGTTGAAGACCTCGGGATAGTTTTGGACCTTAAGGCCCAATGGGCTTCGAACGTCAAGCCCATTGACTTAAGTTGTATGACAAATGAATAATGATTCACAAAGGCCCAAATAGCCCAATTAATCCCCATAGGCCGGCCATTTAGAGGAGGGTAGTGAATTTGGCTTAATTGCAAGTTTGCCACTCCATTGTGAGGTGGTATAAAGACATCTTTATAGCCATTTCATCCTTAGGGTTTTCTAGAGAGTAAAGATGAGAACACAAACCTCCCTTTGCTCTCAAAGAATTCGGCTAATCTAGAGGGGAAAATCTAGCAATCTTACTTCCTCTAGGTCACTCATTTCTTCTTTCAATATACCTTGGTGTGGAGACTTAGAGGTTCTCAATTTTGGGAACTTGGAGAAACCTTTTCATCCATCCAAATCCATGGATCCAAGATGCAAGGAATGAAGGCCCTCTCTTTGGGTGATTAGCCTTTGCTTATGCAAAGAGGAATCTACAAAGGTATTGATTTTTCAACTCACTTTGTTTTGAGTTGAGTCTTGATTCACCTATCTACTAGGCTTTGAATTTCATGGGTAAATGTTTTGTTTTAAGTGCATACAAGCATGATTCCGCCTTTAATATGTTAATTGCATGCTATTGATGTTGCTTAAATGAACATGATTTTCACAAATTTTCCTTCAGGAGAAGCCTTTTATTTTTCCCATTGGATTGGCAATAAATCAACGGAGAAAGTTAATCTTGCTGAGCAACGACTATAGTTGTTTCTTAGTCGTTGGGGGTTGAGCGTTGATGATTGCTCAAGCCTTATTTTCATCTACCTCAATACCACAATGATGTATAAGGAATTCTAAAAAATTGCCAGCTGATACACCGAAAGCACACTTGGTAGGATTTATTTTAAGGTTGTGCTGGCGCATATGCAGGAAAGCCTGACGGAGGTCATCCAAATGTGTCTGCCAATGTTGTGATTTGATTACAATATCGTCAGTGTAGATTTTCTTTTCCCTTCATCTTTAATATTGCAAATTAGTTTATTTTTATTAATTAAATTCGTTTTAATTTAAGTAGGTTATAAAACCAATCATATCAACTTTCTGCTTTACAATAATTAATTGGAATTAGGTTTATTTTGAATTATTTAATAGTCCCTGTGGAGAACGACCTTGCGAGAACCGTTTATACTACAATAACCTTGTCATTCTTGCAAGTAATTTAGGAGTTTTTAACCCGTTTGCATGTATGGTAAAATCTCTATCAGTGATCTTGGATGGTTGGAAATATGTAACTCAGGGGGAGCATTTGTTGAAAAATGAAGCTGTGAAAGCTCTCGGCAAGGCACTCGAGAAAACAAGGATGATTTGAAGTGCACTTTTTGTGGGTTCAGTAGCTAATGGTTGCTGGAGCGAGGTAACTAGTTCAGCAGCTCCCTGCCGACAGTCTGCATCACACTCCGCTGCCCGTTGCTGAGAAGACCCAGCTGGTTCAGTGCTTAACGGCTGCATGATACTCCAATTATCGGCAGTGTCTTGCCAAGAACCACTGTCTCTATTCTCGGCAGTGCCTTGCCATTAGCTACTGAACCCACAAAAAGTGCACTTCAAATCATCCTTGTTTTCCCGAGTGAATGGCCAAGAATTGGCTGATGGTGATGGATTAAAGGGTTGGCTACCCGAAGGTGACCGTGGCACCATAACCATGGGAGGGGCTCCTCCTTGGTTCCCAATGCCACTACTTCTCATCATGGTTGCATGGCATTGTGCTTCCCACCTAACAACTGAGAACACCTCCTCCACAAATGCTAGAGGTTGAATTCTCAAAATATCACTACACACTTTGTCAAAAATATCATCAATGCCACTACTTCTCATCTGACACCAAATTGAATTGACGGCTTAATTCCCATGTATTCCATATTCTGAATATAAATACATAATACAATCCTTATTCCCCAAGGAACAATAAAGGACACAAACAAACCTTTCATAATAAAGGACTCTAATAATTACACAATATTTACATTCCTTTCTTATTTCCATTCCCTTTTTCTACATATTGATTCACGCCAATAATATTGCTGCGAGCAAAGATTGTACCTACAAGCAAGATTAACCAAAGTACAGGTTTCAAACTCAAAAAAGTGGAGACGACACGCATACATTTTTGTGAGTAAATGTTAAAGAGAAAATTCATTATACAGAAACTGAAAGCCACCAATTTTCTTGCACTATTTAGGGGTTGAAAAGTTTGTTGGCCTAGCGCTAGTTAGGAAATTACATGTCAATGCTCGCGGAAGTAAATTTCAACAGAGGAGAATTTTATAAGGGCATTTCACCAAGAAACATCGAAGAAACTAAAGAACCAATATTTCCACAAATATGAAGTTGAAAGAAAAGAGGGTTCACGTGTTAAGACAACAGTTAGGAAACAAAAAGTAGAGATTTCGTGGAAATATAGGGATGTATGATACCATCCAGATCCATAATAATCCGACCCAGAAATACATATTTTAAAGTCTACGAATGAAACTTGTCTTTTCTTTCTCTTATGTAAGTACTAGAAAGCATTAATTTCTGATATACGACCATAGCAGGATTTCCCAAAATCAGTGACGAAGATTATATGCATTGCATGCAACTGATGGGTTATTATGCACATTTGTATCATCTAAAAAAGTACCAATAACATGCAACTGTTCGAGAAATCTAACATGCAAAAAAATTGGTTTCATACATCATTTGTATCATCTATTTAATAGAGATGTGACTCATATGTTTGGTGGGTCTTACTTACAAGTGAAGAGAAATACCATTAGACCGTAGTATTAGGTAGATGAACTTTTTATTATTTTTGAAAGTGAAGAAAACAATGGGCAATATTCGGTTTATTGAAAATTTCACCAAATTGTGTCGCTCACTTTACAAATACAATTTTCATATATCTTGATGCGAAAAGAAAAAATGAAAACATCTAATTCCTTTAATTTCAAATAACCTGAAACTTGTCTCGATAAAACATTAAATCTGAAACGAAACCCTATTTGCAAATTTCCTTGTTGATACCAGAACTCAATTCACAACATGAATCCTAAAAAGTCTATCTGGAAGTCAAGAGTGAATTGTTGGGTCTTCTGATTAAAGTGACATTAAAGTTTCTGGTCAGCCCGACTAACACAACGTACACGTATAGGCATTGAAATAATTCATTCCACATATCATCTTGTTTACAAAACACTTACCTAATTCCTCTCCCAAACAAAAGTTATCTTTTCATTTTTCAGTATTCCTGCAAGCCATGGGGAACATGTTCTCAGTCTCCATACCTTGCGATCACACGGCTAACTTATGCTGCTGGGGTTTCCTCAGTCAACAAGCAAACTACATCAGCAAGCTCGGAGAAAACCTTGAAGCTCTGGATCAATCTTTGCAAGAACTGACCGCTTTAAAGAATGATCTCGTGAGAAGGGTTGAGGTTTCCGAGCTTCAGACATCCATGATGCGCTTGGACCAGGTACAACTGTGGATTAAAAAGGCGGAAACTATTGAGACACGAGTCAGAGAAGTTAAAAATTGTGCAGATCGAGAAATTCAGAAATCATGTAGCGGAGTTTACTGCTCCAAGAACTACTTTCCCAGCTACAAGTACGGAAAAAAAGTGTTTAAAATGCTGGTGGAAGTGGATGCCTTGAAAAGCAAGGGAAGCTTTGAAGAGGTGGTAACCGAAAGCTTACCGGTAGTCTATGAAATGCCTACTGAACCAACAGTGGGGATGGAGTCGACGTTTGAACAGGTCTGGAGACAACTTGAAGATGAACAGGTGGGAACAATCGGGTTATATGGAATGGGAGGGGTGGGCAAGACCACCCTCCTTACCAAAATCCATAACGAATTCGCCTTTAGTACTTCTTACCATTTTGATCTTGTGCTTTGGATCGTGGTCTCAAAAGACCACAAACTTGAAATCCTCCAAGATAAGATTGGTGAGAAGCTTGGGATTGTTAATGACAGATGGAAGCACAAAGAGCCGCATGAAAAAGCTCAACACATCTTCAAGTTCTTGAGTGAGAAGAAATTTGTGCTATTGTTGGATGATATATGGGAGCCGATTGAAATGATAAAAGTTGGTATTCCTAATCCAGCGATTCCTGATCCAGCTGACAATAAGAAGTCCAAGATAATATTCACGACTCGCTTGGAGCATATATGTAGTTGTATGGATGCTCAAATAAAGATTAAAGTCAGGTGTCTAATGCCGAACCAAGCATGGACCTTGTTTCAGGAGAAGGTGGGCAAAGAAACTCTTCAAAGTCATCCAGATATCCCCGCACTTGCGCAAATCGTGGCAAATGAGTGTGACGGTTTGCCACTTGCATCGATTACAGTTGGTCAAGCCATGACGTGCAAGAAAACACCCCACGAATGGAATCATGCAATTCGGGTTCTAAAGGAATCTGCCGCAGAGTTTTCCAGTATGGGCGACAAGGTATTTCCACTTTTAAAATTTAGTTATGATAATCTACCCAGTGAGACAATCAAATCATGCTTCTTATATTGTGCTCTATTTCCGGAAGATTTCCGGATGAGTAAAGATGATTTATTATATTTTTGGATGTGTGAGGAGATGTTTGAAGAGTATGTTAACGTAGATGTAGCGAAAAATGAGACTTACCATATCATAGGAACGCTCCTTTCTGCATGTTTGTTGGAAGAAGAAGGAAATTTTGTAAAAATGCATGACGTAATTCGTGACATGGCATTGTGGTTAGCTTGTGATTGCGGGAAAGAAAACGAGAGTATCCTCATGCATACAGGTCTCCAGGGAACACCACATGTGAAGAAATGGATGAACGCTAAAAGGGTATCATTGGTTGGTAGTCATTTTAAAAGGCTAGTTGAAACACCAAAATCTCCAAATCTGTTGACCTTATTTCTTAGAGGTGGAAAGGGTCCTTTGAATATGATTGCTGATGGCTTTTTCGATCATATGCCTACTCTGCGAGTTTTGGATTTGTCTGAAAATCTGAACATAACCAAATTGCCATCTGGCATTTCCAACCTGATTTCGTTACAACACCTAAATTTGTCAAGAACTGGTGTAAGAGAGTTGCCAATTGAATTAAGGGCTTGTGTGAGGCTAAAATATTTGGATTTGGAGCATACGGATCAGCTTGATTTTGTACCACAAAATATAATGTCAAGTTTTCCAATGCTAAAAGTTTTGAGGATGCTAGCATGTAGTTCGTCAGATAGAATTCTTGTTGACGGTGAAGGAGCCCTGATGGAGGAAATGCAGGGTTTGGAATACCTTGACGTTTTGACTCTGAGCGTACGGAGTAGCTCTTTTTTGCAAAAATTGATCATATACCACAAATTGGTGACCCGCATTCGGACTCTACAGCTCTCGGATGGCAAGAACGAAGCAAGCTTTCTAGACATATCGTCTTTGGTGGATATGAAACATCTTGATACCCTTTATATTCGGGATACTCCTAATTGGAAACAATTGGAAGTTCATTGGGCAGGACGAGCACCTAACGATCCCTGGGATTTAATGATGATAAAACAAAATTGCTTCCTTTGCCTTCAGTTCATAGAAGTATCACGATGCCCAAATCTCACGGACATAACTTGGCTCCTTTTTGCTCCAAATCTCAGCCATTTACGTGTAGATGCCTGCAATGATATTGAGAAAATAATCGATTTGGAAAGACTGGGTGGAGTTGGAAATGTGGTACAAGAACTGAATCCTTTTGGAAAACTTACCAGTCTGATTTTGAGTTTGCTTCCACGGCTGAGTAGCATACAGGATAGTCCCCTACCCTTTCCATACCTGAAAGAAATCAAGGTGGTTGCATGTCCAGTGCTGAGAAAGCTTCCACTCAACTCCACAAGTGCTCAGAGTGGGAGCAATATTGTAATCAGAGGACATGAGGCATGGTGGTCTTTCTTAGAGTGGGAGGACGAAGATGCTCGAAATGTCTTTCTTCCCTGCTTCAGACGCGGTTAATTAAGCTCAAAATATTGTGCTGTTGTTTGGATATTCAAAACCTCGAAATTCCATATTCTGTGATTCTTTTAGTTCACATTACGCTCCTATATATTTTGAGCTTTGTGTATATTGTTATTGTTGAACCTCACATTTGGCTCTAAGAAAATCATGTATCCTACTACTTTTATACAATTCACAGCAGACTCTCCGGTCATCATTGTCGGCCAAGTGACGTAGAATGCTTCAGTCCTCCTCAAGTGGCAGCTTCTTCAGCGCTGGACATTCTTCTCCCAAGATTTCGGCATCTTGTACAAACTGAAGGCCAAGGAAGCACGCGTGATTCGTCATCATTGACATCCGAGGATCTTTACGTGCTCGTTCTGCACAATAAATTTCAAGTTCGTACAAATTAGGATATTCCACAATATGAAGGATATGAACATGTTTCATATTCTTCAGAGATGATATATCTACAACATTTGAGTGATTCTTTCCGTGCTAGAGGTGGAGAGTTCGAGTGCAGGTAATCAAAAGCATAAAGACAGAAATTCGTCTGGAGCTTTACCAGCGCCAGTTCCAAAGAGACGAACATGGAATACCTGTTACAAATAGCATGGCTACTGGCCTACCGATGAATATTCTGATGTTCATCAAATCTAAAAATAAGTCTGTATTTCTTTTACTGTTTCTGCATGTAAAGATTAAGACCTCTTGTGAGAACCAAGAACACAAATAGCCAAAGGAGAATTTTCTGAGGTTATCTGCACTTGAAAATAAGATTTGACATAGTTCACACTAGCCAAACTAATTTTCGCTAGTTACATTCATGTGAGTGCCACACCGTATCTTGTAAACTGAAAATATGTCTTTACAATAACAATGTGCATAAAATTCGGAAGATAACGGCTAAAATCCCTACACAACAGAGATACGGAAAATCAAGATACTTAAAATCTGGCGTTGTAGGCCGTTGGGTATGAAACATCTCCTCTTTACTAGACTACGGGTCGCAATCGAAGTCAATCCCACACTCATTTAACAAAAGGAAGGTGTTAGAGGAAATAACAAGAAGCTTCTTGTATCTATAGATAACTAATCTATTCCCTTACACATGTCATACTAAACTGGAGTAGCACTCCACTTTGTTTGATGAGCCATGTAGAAGAGGCAATGTCTTCAATCCAATCAGCATAGATGCGACTCAATTTCTCAAGTTCATTCCACTCTACAGTTGCACTGCGTACTCTGACCTTGTTTATAAGCAGTCGCAATCCCCATCCTACGATTTGATGCATTGTTGCCCCTCGTATAAGTCGTTAAACTGTTAGCCTGCACACTTCCACATTCTGGTGTAGTATAGCCACAAAGCTTCCTTAGTTCTGCAAAATTAACAACAATGGATCTCAAAATTTGTTCTTTTAAAATCATTGCACATCCGTCAATAGTGAGCAATTCTTGAATCATGATCGGTTCTACAGGGTCATCAACTCCTCTCATTTATCCTTGGAGATGGCTACAGAAGATTTGTACCACACTTTGAATTAATCAAATTGGAAAAGGTCTGGACTTTTTTGCTTTCTTTCATACTTGGAGAAGCCTGGCCCCTTTCAAAATAGTAACTGAGGAAATTGCAATCAGTGATTTAGCATTATGCAATCTAAATACCTAGTTCAGTAGATGAATGTCCCGGGTGCCTCTTCTAACGTTCAAGTCCTTCACCAGTCCAACCTATTGGCATGATTCAATACCTTCCTAACAGAAAAAGCTCTAAAGGTCGAGTGTGGTTTCTGAATTTCTGATACTGAACCATTGGGTTTTACTTATGACAACTTTTACGAGTCTAGAGCACATGAGAAATCAACCGATACTCTAACAAAGAGTAGACCATCTAAACATTCATACGATCAACACACACATACACGCAAAAGGAAAAATTAGCAAAGCTATGCAATGCAGGTATCCTATCGAAAATTGTAATCTACATTGAACCCGACAAAATCATCATTTGAACATATTAAACTAAGTATTGTCAAAATCCATACCCATAGACTTCTTGCAGTCAAATTGAGCAGAACCACCAGCAGTTGAAATGCTTATGAACGAACTATCTCTGATATTTTCAGGACTGACATGACGAAAGCGGCATTTGTCTCCGTAACTGCATGTTCCCCATCTAAAGAACGACCTGCATATTCTCACTCCATTAGAACTTCCATGATCACCATTCCAAGTCCTCCTGACCAAGTTTCCTTCTCAGGTTCCATTCCTTGCGCATCACGCAAAGTCCTGCGGAGATCACTGGTGCCATGAGCAAAGGAACATCTCTGCCCAGAAAAGCAACAGCCCATTTGGAATTTACGGCACAGTTGGGTCTTGTAATAGCTAGGCAACATTTTGTTCTGTCCTGAGGCCGCATTCGAGTTCGATACAGCTTCAGATGTTCTGGGTTTCTTGAAAGCTTGGGACTTGATGTCAGATTGAGCTTTGATTTCTTTCTCCTCAGTAGGAACTTGATGTTTCATGTGATGCCCGCTGTCACCGGATTCAAGATATTGAGCAAAAAATTGGGGAGTAGGTAATGGAGTACTCATGTTGGTATGCAACTTGACCAAGCTGCACTCCAACTGTTTGATGAAACGCCAAAGAACTCAGAAGAAAATTATGATGGGGAAATGGTTGGAGCTGAAATTTACGAAAAACCCAGATGCTGTATCAGAAGAAATTTGTGAGTGTCGGCGAAGAAATGAGACGCATTGTGATTGAACATTGAAAAAAAATTGCAATGAATGCATCAGAATCCAGACGAACAAGAAAACCCAGATGTAAATTTGAGAATTTAGTGAGATGGGGAGGTGCCAGATTGAATATTTTAAGTAAAATCTCGGATTATGATTCGAGTGAGGAACATTTCGCGCATCAGCTCAGGCTAGTTTCTACACTCTGAAGAGTAGGTGGGTGGTTGGTTACAGTTTTTACGTTACTATGGTAACCATTAGAGAGAGATTTTTTAACTCCAAGTGAGTACCATTAATTAAGCCTTCTATACTTTACTTCTTGTAATGAATGAGAATATTTTTAATTCCCACTAATTTCAGTGTTTATATATGGTGCTTGAAATGATTAGAATGTTGGAGACTTAAAAATTAGAATAGTGGTTTTATTATTGTTTCGTAAGAGCTTTAAAGAGTTAAGATCGTTAAGTGAATGATATTTTAACCAAATTTAGTAAAATAAGGACTGGCTATAACATTTATATGTATTTAATATAATTATTATTTTGACGGTTTGATCCAATAAGATAATATGATAATATGATCATAAATAATTGATAAATTTGTTTAACGACTATAAGATTGTTGTGATGACTTAATATTTTTTGTGTTTCATTTCATGACTTAAATGATTTGAAAAATGTGTTTGAGCATGTTCCCATTTTTCAAATTACTAACATAACATACAAGGTGTGCAAATCTCGAGATGGTGGGCACCTAGTACGATGCTAGTTAAAGACACTATGACCCTCAAGTTAGTAATATTAAGGAGATAGAGCGATGTACAAGGCTATCATGCGTAGCTTAGGCTTTCTTACTAATCATTTTTTTTTTTTAACATTTAGATAGAGAAATGATCAAGTATTGTTATGTCATCATTATGTTGTTGCTATATATAAATATGTCGTCGTTATTAAAACTTTATTATTTCTAAAACCAAATGTAGATTATTCCAGCTAATTGCCAAAAAAATTTGTTGCAATTTTGCTTCCTTCAAGTGTGCATCGCAAAACTCAACCTAGTAGTCCACCCATACTAAGCCTAGTAGTACCAAGTCACATATATTACTCTACTAAAAGACTCTAAGCCAAAATCTAGTAGAAGAAAAGAAATGAATTTCACAATAAGTCTTTGATAACGTTACAATTTAGAGAAATATGAACTCAAAACGTTTGAAAAATATCCTCTCGCCTTTGAGAAAATTCTGGCAGAGAGGGGACTTGATCGGTCACGGTGGAATAAATGGTAGGTAAAGCTGCACCACGTCACCAATACCTAAGCCCTTACTTGGGACCTACGGCACGAATCAGTTGCACGTTAAAAATACTAAGCTGATTGTTTCATGTATAGCTTGGATAAATATGTTACGAAAGGCTAACTCTGTAACAACCATTCTCTAAAAGAAAATCAGAATTTTACCAACAAAGAAAAAGAGAACAAATTTACTCTATTTTTCAGTACACTGGTAATCAACCAATCGTCTACTGAAGTTTCTCAATCCCAGGAAACGAGGGGAGAACCGCAACGAGAGCATCACCATATCCAACGGGATCTGTTAAGAAAAAGAGATGATTACATGATAACGTGATACCAGTAGCATCAACAGAACCCGGCATGAAAAGAACTGAAGTGTATACAAACTTACCACCATCTTCTCGTAGTATCCTGATGACCTCCCCAGCTACATCAGACTTCAAAAGAAAAAACGAATAACTCAAAACTACGTTAGAGATAAAGGACAACAGCTGGGAGGGGAAGAGAAGATCGAACACCCTGCGTCTCTCATCTGACACATACCTCAATTGGGAGCTCCCCGCCAAGCTGTTCTATGTAGCAAATCACTTGTCCCTCCTTCACTATTTGCTTCTGTTGTGTAAAAATGAAAGATAAGTCGCTTAAAATACGACGCATTTTGTCAATGATATGATAAAGTAAGCATATCGGTTGTAGCCAAGTATTGCCATTACTGCCTTTAAGCAAGCAGGAAATCAAAATTCCACCATTATTTCCATCAAAATTAACAAATCATTGTGAAAAGATTACCTCTTTACATGATGGCGGAGCACGCTTGCCCTTTATGGTTCGAGATCTCCTAAACAACCCCACCTGCACCATTGGTTATTTTAGTATCCAGAATTAATAAAATGATAAAGTGCGTGTAGTTTGGCTTCTTACTCGTGGAGAATGAATTAACACCAAGCCATCATCTGCAGCTCTATCTAGCAATGTCTGGATACTCCTTGAAGACGATTCTTGTCTAGTGATAGCTACAGATTGCGTAGGAACAGCACCATTCAAATCAAGTGCTTTAGCATTTTCACTCGCACTAACAGGAGCAGGACTTGGGGGAGGTGGTGTGCTAATTTTTTCAGTCAACTTCCTCACCACATTTAACTGAAATCCACCGATCTGATTATGTGGTTAGAATGTGTGAATTAATAATAAACTGGATGGAAGATCAACAGCAACATCCCATACTAGTAGGAAGGATAAAGAAAAAAGGAGAGTGGTTCGGAATGGAAAACTTATTCTTAAGTTGCAAGATTATCTCCAATTCATATAAATTATGAAGTTGGAATAGAGAAAAGGTCTTGCTTACTTTTAATTTGACCTCTGCAACTGTAGTTGTATCACATAATGCTGTGAGCAAAGATTGTACCTACAAACAAGATTAACCAAAGTACAGGTTTAAAACGCAAAAAAGTGGTGACGACATACATGCTTTTTTGTGAGTAAATGTTAAGAGAAATTCTGTAATTTCATTATAAAGAAAATGAAAGCCACGAATTTTCTTCCATGATTTAGGAGATGAAAAGTTTGTTGGCCTAGTGATAGTTAGAAAATTGTATGGTGGCTCACGAAAGTAAAATTTCAACAGAAGAGAATTTTATGACGAAACTTCACAAAACATAGTAGAAACTAGAGAATCAATATTTCCACAAATATGAAGTTGAAAGAACAGAGGGTTCACGTGTTAAGATAGTCATTAGGAAACAAAAAGTAGAGAGGTTTCATGAAAATATAGGGATATGCAATACAATCCAGACCCATAAAAATCCGACCTAGAACTACGTACTTTTAAAGTCTACGAATGAAACTTGTCTTTTCTTTCTCATATTTAAGTACTAGAAAGCATTATTTGCCGATATACCAATAACCTATTTTCTCCCCTTTTTCCCAAAATCAGTGATGAAGATTAAATGCATGCAACTGGTGGGTTATAGTACCAATAACCTATTTTCTCCCCTTTTTTCAACACAAACTAAAAAAGTAAACTAGTCCATCAAAATGCAACTGTTGGAGAAATCTAACATGCAAAAAAACCTTCAGAGGCTGTATGAGATACAAAGTAAATTTGAAGTGTAGGGATGTGATCTTCACGTAGGTGATTATAACAATTTCAGGACAACCTAGAAACAGAGAACTCGGAGGTTTACGCGGTGGATCAAAAGGTTCAAGTTTAAAACCGAGATGATACCCAGAGAAGAAGGATTTTACATTTGCTCTTCCTGTTTGTCTTACCATTTGAGACATGGAAAGAATAACAATGAAATAATAGTTCATGGATCATTATTCCTCCCAAGATAAAAATCTAAGAAACAACCATGCCTACATTCAAAACTGCACTATCTATAAAGATCTGTCAATGGGAGATATGGGAAATAGAATAAGTGTCGCAAATTATTTGTGAACTGACCTCATCAAAATTTTGAATGAGCTGGTTTGTTGGACCAGAATCTCCACTCTCTTCAGAAACCTCTTCTAAACTTTTAGCAGCTATTACACCATCAACAAAAGCATGGTGTTATGAATAGATTGTACGTCACAGGAACAGATATTATCATGTCGATACAATACAGTGTAAATATTCTTTGAGTTTCTACAGGCTCATACTTCAAAAATGTCATATTCAGTTAGATATTCATTCCATAAACTTATCTGTACTAAGAAAATGGCATACTCAGTGACTATGCTAATGGACAAAATCTAAAGTTTCACAGCTCAAGATCAGAGGGAAAAATAAAGAATGAGAGGGAAATTATGACAGAGCAAAAAATAGAAAGAAAAGATTAAAATGTCCAACATTTACAAATCAATCAAACTTACAATATTTGTCAAATGATACACAATACTAAACAAAAACTGCATAAGTTTTGGCCGTGCAAATCCCAAGATAATGTCTACCCAAAGTTTTGGTCATAGATTACTGGATATATAAAAATGACCAATATGACTTAATCACATCAACATTGAATTGAAGAAGATAATAGGAATACAAGATCGTAAAATCCCATACCGTACCTATACAACGTAACTTAAGAACAATGGATTATATATCTTTAAAAACTGTTTGGTAAAGTGGATAGAATTGCACTTGTAAATCTATCCAGACTCTCAAATACTCAATTTCCATGTCATTTTCACTTCAGTATGAGCTACCAACACAAATTTTATTAAGCTTAAAAGAAACAGGGATTCTCATGTAATGGCTGTAGACATCGAAATTTCGGTGAAACAAATGTTCACCAACGTATTAAAGTTTTCCGTGTTCACAATGGCATGTATATATTTATGCACATGCATCGGTTATTGAGAAGTAATTTGTGATTGAATAAACATCAAACAAACTTGATGTTTCAAGTACTGCTGCTAAGCAAATTCCAGATTTGAAGTATAATTAATGAGGGACGAAAAGAAACAATTTACATCAACAAAATGAACTTACACAGGATTTCTAACGATCGAACGCTGCGCGCATGTAATACTTTCTCTGACTGTCTTGATATCGATAAACATGAGTATAATTGTGGTTTTCTCCCTGTCCAAGTTATTATGCCATATGACTGTAAGACCCCAACTCGTGCCCTACTGAAGTTCAAGTTTGTAATTTTAGCATTCAATGTCCCTAGGCTACCTGCCACACAAATGATATCACAATTTACTAAAACTATACCCCAACAATAAGAAAATCCTTCACCTTTAATTCATTTTCATTCGGAATGTAAACAAATCATGCAAGGAACACACAATCTTGATATGAGGAATGACAAAATCCACCACAAATGAAGTATCCAATAAAGACCCTCAAGTTAAATTTGAAACAGAATCTGTTCATACACTACACTTGAAACATATATGACACAAGTAAGCAGCTCTTCACCTTCTCTATCGTCCTATATCATTTACCAATCACCACAAGAAACCAGACCCAATTGAATTCGGAATTAGATTCACAGGAAAAGTGATTACAATGCACCAAACAAGCACTAATCACTGTTTCATTAACATGGTTAACCATTTCCATGGATATAACCAGAAAAATCCCAATCCCCCCAATTTCTAATAGCATCCATAGATTATATCACCAAAAACCCACATCCCCAAAAGCAAAAACAACCAATATAAACATTGAAATCATAAATTTTTCAAGGGTTCTGTGTGCGTGTGTGGAAGAGAGAGAAAGGGAAGAGACAGAGACTCACTGGAAGCCATGAAGATGGAGGAGCCTGAAGGGAGGGCAGAAAATGGTTAGAAGGTTTCAGAAGCTTCACAGGAAAAAAAAACCCAAATGAAATGTCAGTGAAAACTCAGCAGAAATCAGAGAGAAGGATGCAGAAAGGGAGAGTTCAGACTTTGAGATGAAAGCGAGACACAGTGACACACGGCCGTTAAGTTCCAAGAAATGACAAATGAGTAGGAGGGACCAATTGAACCGCTACCAAACATACAGCTGGAAACTTGGACTAGTAGCAGCTGTGTCCAACCGGCCCAAGCCCAAACCTTGTTTTCACTCAACATATTTTGCCATTTTATTTTTAAAATTTTATTCAAATGTATGGATATGTTTTTCAACAAAAAAAAAAAAATACATATATATATATATATGGATATGTTTGGTCTGCCAACAAAATGAGTTTTTTTTAGTGTTGGTGGTTATTAGTTTAAATTGGACTCTTTATTCTTCTTTAATCTTCATTTTGATGGACATGTTTACGAGATGTGATTTGTCTAAGTGAGAATTTAAGGTTTAATTGTTAGAGATAATTTTCTGACATTTTGATTTATGTTTCTTGATAATCATTTGATTTATTCAATCAAAATGTCCGAATTAAATAGAGTGTGCATAAATTGATTTATCATATGTTTTTTATTTTCAATTGCGTTACAAGTTTTGGAAGCCTTAACAAACTTCCAACTACTTCTAATTGGAAAGGTCGTTTACCAATCCAAGGGGCATGACCACTCTCTCTTTAATTTGGTTAGTTCTTTTTAAGATCTAAAGAAATAAACAAAAATTTTATGGACTAGATTGAATAATTTTGTTCAATATTAATAGGTATGGATTCCTCTTCATTTGTCATTTGTAAGTGGCTCAAATTCAACTCACATGAATGTCAAGTTCAATAGCTAATTATTATGATTGGGTCATTGTATGGATTAACTGATATCCAACCCTGCTTCTCTTTAAATTAGAATATCATTCTATATGAAATAAAAAACTTTAAAAGAAATGTAGTGTGAAATTTTTACAAATTGTCTTTTTCACTAAAGACTTCTAAACATAGTGAGGATTTGAGATCAAAGCTGGGTACTGACCAGTTACTATCTAAATCATTGATCATCCAATGTGAGCCACTAAATTTACAACACTTGTCAAATGAAACTCTCATCCCAAACTCCTATGATTTTGCTAACCAAACACACCAATTCTTTTCTTTACTAGTATCCAAAGATCCATTTTCTCTCTCATTAAGAACACATATGTCATACTTTACCTCCAGTCCTTCTCCTTCATTCCGAAGTCATGGTAGCTCCATCCCTTCCCCCTCATCCCTGAATCTATGATAGTTCTATAACCTTCCCTTACTCCCCAAAGCCATCACAACTTCGCTGCCTCCAAATGCAAAGTGCATTTGGCGGCCAAAATAGTTGAGTAATACTTGGGTATTAATTGGTGGTACTCAATTTGTTGGCCATCCCAAGTCACCCACGAAATTGATAACACTTGTCAAATGAAACTCTCATCCCAAACTCATGTGATGTTGCTAACTAAACACACAAATTCTTCTCTTTACTATTATCCAAACATCCATCTTCCCTCAAATGCAGAAGAGAGTAATTCAACCATTATATAATCTCTTTTACAATTCTATTCCTTCCGAAGTCTCTGCGAACACTTCTTCTTTTTAATTTAGCTTGCTTTAAACCCTCCTAGATTGATGCCTTAGGAAGAAGGGGATGAAGGTTGTTGGTGAAAGTTACCAATGTCTCATGTCTGTTTGTGTTCCTGGTGAGCAAAAAGGTGGATGTTTGGATGTTGATTGAACACCACGAGATTTGGTGGGTTTGGTTAACAAGATACTAGGAGCTTGGGTGAGAGTTTCATATGACAAGCATTATAAATTTAGTGGGCTACGTATATAGGATGGCCAATGTTGGGCGACTTTTAGGTCGAGGTGGACTTGGGCTTTGAGAACGTCTTCTTGTCTCCTTTGGTGCGGATTCGTACCAAGTCCCGGAACATCTCGAAAAAGTTAGCTTGTCTTAGTAAATACCCCGATAACATCAATGTCTCAAAGATAGAATGATTGGTCAAGATAATGACTTGCTCAAGTGAAACTTGGTGTGGAAGCTAGAAGATTATCAGTTTAACATAAGAGAGAATAGATTTGCATGGTTGCATGGAAATCTTGGCTGGATAAGCTGGGTTTTCCTAGGGTGATAGTAAGACTTCTAATGGTTGGGATGATTAATGGAAGGCTGTGGGAATTACTAAGGTTGCATGGATGGTGATGCTTGAGGCTTGAAGTATGCTTCTGGACTAAATGGAACTCTCTGGCTTATTTCCTTGGTGGTTCTCTCTCCCTCTATTCTTTTTATCTCTCTATGTTACCTCCAATCATCTGTTCCCCCTTCTCTAATGGCTTCTCCCTCCTTATGTAAGTGAATGGCTAATCTTTAGGCTTCAAATGAATCTCCCTTTATGGTTTGGTCTTCCTGTTCCTTTCTCCGTAGCCCTCCTATTATTCCCTTTTTGGTGTAAGGTAGTTGCAATGTTAAGACCTGCAGTCTGCTTTTTCCCGAGGCACAGCTTTCCCAGGGCGACATTTTGCATACGCTACTTTTGGTAGCGTGCCTCATGGTTTTCATTCGTTGGTTGTTTGTGCAAGCTGGGATGGGAAAATCAACCTTAAAAGCCTGACTTGCTGGGCTTAGCATGCATTTAATGTATGAATCTAGTTTAGTACTAACTACTAGGGTTGGTTTGCTAGGGAAATGGGTAAACTGGGCTAATTCTCTCTCAATGTTGCCTGCATGAAATGCAAATGGTATGAGCTAGGATCCTGGGCCCCCAAGCAGCCCAAAGTCTTCCATGACCTCGATTCCACCTAGGCCCAATAACCTTCCATGAACATCCACACCATAATCCACCCTGACAAGCCCTGAATATGTGACTTAGGCTTAGCATGAATAGTGACTAGCATGAGGAAGCATGGCATGATGAATAGGCATGAGCATGGCATGAATATCTGGCTTAATCACCGTGACATGCCATGTTTGTAAATATATTCCTCATCGATCCTGCGCCTTGGCATGTGTTTGGGCTTGAATGTAGACTTTGCATGACAATTGGACCTTGAGACTTGGTTGGATTGGTATGTGACATTTTTGTGCCCCAACCACCAACAAACTAAGTACTCAACAATCAAGTAATACAACGATTTGGGCCGCCAAATGCTCTTAGGTCTCTTCTACATTTGAAGAGATTATAGAATGCTTTAGCTACTCTCTACTGCATGCAATTAACTACAAGTTAGTAAACAGTCAGCAACAAATTAAAACTTAGCTAGATTGAGACTTGACTAGCTAAAGTAGTAAACAATTTGAAGTAACATAAAGCTTAACCTAAAGGGAAGACAAGAATCTTGCTGCTTTAAGCATTGATAGTGTCCGGAGCATGAATGTATATATTAATCCACTTTTGAATCCACCATATACATATACTTTTAAAAGATACACATGCATCAGGTCAATGATGGGAATCCAATGTGACCATTTAAGCAAAAGAGTAAGCAGAAATTAAATTAAATAGTTATTCACATTATCCAAACTTTAAATTAGTATGCAGTTTATCTACGACCCCCTTGCTAATTGATACTCTAATCATGGTTTTCATTCATTAATATTTGGTCTAAGTTACGCACAACCTACATTTTGTTAAAACTCTTGAATTCAAATCTCATGAATTACAATTATGTACTTAATAAAACATTTACATCCCGTTTTAACTTCCAAATAAGAATATGCACGGTTAACAAATACTAAAATAATATATTATTTTTGGCTTCAGTGTATGTAACTTGACATTGCACCTTTTAGTTTCAGTTCAAGGCAATATCCGTTCCTTCTATCGTACTTATCAGTTATCAATACATGGTTACTTTAATTCTTTGGGATATCATGAACGTTTAGTGGAATTCATCACTGTTGCCTCAAGTTCCTTTTGTATATATGTGACCATTTTTTCTTTTTGCTTCGTTATCTAATTTGAAAATCAAGAGTTCCTAAAGTACTTCATGAAAGGCTGAAAGCAGCCTTATTGATATATCGCAGTATTGATTGGAGAGAAAGCATCCTAAATGAAGTTTGTGCGCATCGTTTCTAGTTAAGAAAAAGAACAAGGAATCATATCATTCATTCATTCATTTCAAAAACCAGGAACAGTACAGTAGTTAAAATAAACATTTAAAACAAATGACAGCACTAGATAAATCAAAGAGAAGCACCAAAATTACATTGATATAATTTTTGTGGGAAACCCTAGATAACAGAATGCTAGGCATATATGTAAAACCCTAGAACTAGCTAGAACCTCAGAAACAATGACAGAAAAACTTGTGACAATCATATATCATCTCTCTTGCTCATTAGAAACTATGCCTGCAAAAACACATAATTAACATCATGAATTAATTAAGTTATAAATGATAATTACTGTTAATTGTGAAGTATCAATGAGAGCGTAAATGAAACCTTACCCAAAATTGCATAAGACATGTGTAGCTAGGCTAGTACGAGTCTCTTGGGGCATTGCATCTAAAGCATTCCATTCTGCTAGCAAAGTTGTGCTCGTTGCACCCCAACCTGTGTCCAAATAAATAAATAAATAAAATCAGCAGTTAATTAAATATTTAAATTTTAGTAAACCCCAAATACATATACTGATTAATAACTAGATGTGGATCACCAAAATTGAACTCATTTGTTAATTTACTATTGTGCCAATTTCAGTTTTGAACTACCTGCGGACTTATTTTATAATTTTTAATTGAGCAACAGACCCATCGCATTAGAAAACAATATTACAATTTTATGTTGTATTAAAAAAAAGACGAGGGTTTGAAATTAAGAGAGAACATAGTCCACTTACAACAAAACTTAAACTCTTAACTTCGGGTGTGTGTGAAGCCTTAATGAACGCTTAGTTGTTAAATTAGGCAAGGAGGGAGAGATTCCTAATGTATCTAACTTTAAAAAGCAGTCAAGGAAAGAGGAATATTTACCAAGTGCTTTTCTGGTCAGATTTGCAGTATTAGGTAGGGACAATGCTTGTGTTATTCAAGAGAGAAATTTACTAATCTTTATTTACGATCCACGTATTTTTATCG